AAATGTACACGTTCTTGGATTGCTGTTTTGTTAAACATTTCCTTGTTTCAGTGCGGCAGTGCAGAACCTTGCCCTAAGCATGTGCCTGCAGGGTGTGCAGCCACCAGGAAGCGTGGATCTAATGCCTCTGGTCTGGAGGGAAGTTCATGTTGGGGTCCAAAATAACTTGGTTTGCTTGCATTTCCCATGTAAGGAAGGAACACGCTGGACTCCTTGTGACTTGAAAAGCACTGCAAGCAAGTCCTCAAAAAGTCCTTGCAGTTTGCTACCAGCTGATGTGATCTGAGGATAAACCAGAAATTTTCGTGTTACATAACAGCAATGTTGACCTGCACACGAGTGGGAATTCTGATTCTTCACAGTGCCTGCCTGTAATACTGCAGAAGGATAAGAGAACGGATGGGATTTCCTTTGTGTTGCTACCTGGATTTTCAGTTCTTCGGAGTACAGCGAAATATCGGTAGCACTTGTGGCCAACTCATATCAGTAACTAATCTTACAGCTTTCTATCTGGGCTAGAAAAATAAACAGACTTTATCAAAAAGCAAACAAAGAGCACAAAAAGGAAGAGAAATAAACAGAATTTTTGAAAGATAAATTGAAATATAAAGCTTCTTTCTCTAGTGTAATAACTTGGAATTGCTTTTTGGTTTTACTTAGCTGTTTTACTTAAGGACTTGCATGGGAAATTCTGGTTGGACAGAGTGTTTCAGACTACCTGAACCTTCTTCAGTGGTGACATGCAAGCTTGCCTCTCTCCTTTGTGTGTTTAATTCTTAGAATCTAACCTAGCTCTGCTGTGCACTTTGCAAACTGTGTGGGTTGTTATTGATGGCCAGAAGATATTGTTTGACCTGTAGGTTAGATAGTAAACAACTAACTTCTGAGCTCTGGATTTGTGATGCCTTTTGGTAATTTTAAAGAAGAATGAGAATGCCTAACATTCAATGTCCTTTCATGCTCTTCAAATGAAATCTTTGACCATTTGCTTAACCCTGTCTGGCTCCTGTCATCAGCAGTCTGATTTTTTTCCCCAGATCCACAGTTTTGCTTCCAATGCTGCAAGGGTCATTCTTGCCTGAACTCGTGCAGTGTAGAAGTGGGCTGACGTACTCCAGCACTTTAGCAAATACTTTATTTCTCTCCCAGCTGTCTTTGTTCCCTACTTCTCCCACAGTATAATATAAATGTGAACTATGTATTAGACTGGCATTATGAAGAGATTAACTTTGCTCTGGAAATTTGTAACCCATTAATGCAAAATTAGTGACTTCAGATGGGGGAATTGAAGCAAGCCCCTCCCTCCTTGTCAAGAGAAGGCCAAGCAGTTGCAGCTTTCAGTCACTGAATAACAAAGAAGCCCCAGTGCCCTGTTATGGCTCCTTGCCTTTGGTTGTCCTTCATGGAGCAAAAGGCACTGCTGTGTCAATCTGCTTGGCACAATCCAGTCTTTCTCTCTAGCACATCATTTTTTGAACACTGTTGGAAACCATTAGTTGCCATTAGCATATAAACTGGATTCTCTCTGCTAAGAGAGGAGGGAACAAGATTTTATTCACTGTAGCTTTAATCAGCTGCTGTTGGCATAGCTCTGAAGGCAGCAGTCTGTGTGCTGTGCTCCAGACCTGCTGCAGGAATGGATACAGCTGTGATGAGGAATAAAATAGGCAAATGTGTGTGGAGGATAACCCAGGCATATTCCACTTCTGAGTGAGGAACTGTGAATGTAACTGAGTGCTTTTCCTCTTAAAATTTGGCAGTGCAATGTGAGCTGTCTTCCCTAGGGACGTGGGAGGGAGGAGTAGCAGTGCTGGGCAGATGGCTGTACTGACCACTTTTCTTTTTCTCCTTCCCACTTGGTAGAACAGCTTGGGAAACTGCACAAGGCCTAATGCTTCTGCAGTGAAACTGGTCTTACATGCAAAACTTGAATAAACAAGTGCTAGGAACTGAACATAGAGCAGTTTAAGAGAACAAGGAGTACATGAACAGACTTGTTTCATTTTTTTCCTGTAGTATCACATCTTTACTTACATTTTAATTGTCCTGGCAAGTTTAGTTAGTTCAAGTAGAAGATCTGCATTGTATGTGTGAAGATTGAACTTCAGTGACCTGTGCATGGTACTAGCATTGTATATTGCATAGTACTATTCGACCAATTAAACTGTTCTTTTTTAAATTTGAGAAGCTAAGCATGCCATCCTCTTCAAATAACCACACAGAAACTAGGAAATGCTTGACTGAAGATGACCAAGATAACTGTGTCCCAGCCCCTTGGCTGGTGTGTGCTTTGATATGGTCTCCAGTTGCACAGCTACACGTACCTTTGCTGGAGGAGGGGACTGCTCTGGAGTGACTAGGGGTTGCCAAACCCATGACTTGTCAGCTTTCTTAAACTTTCTCATTGACTTTTGTGCCCTGTGTAGTGAATAAAAATATGTCCAGAAGCTTTTCTGAAGCTATGAACCTACAGCTGCTAGGCTGACATGCTGATGTCATGCTGGTAAAGCAGCATTTTTAGCTGTGGTACATATCCCACAGGAAAAGAGTGTGTTGCTTTAGCTCAAGAGTCTGAACTCCAATCTTGTATGTATGTGGCTTGCAGTACACAGGCCAGGAAGCCCACAGGACATCCTGGGATGAAGTCTAGTCAACATTAGGCAAAATGTCTTGGCTTTAAAACAAACTCAGACTTGCAGGATTGTTTTTGGTTGGATTTTAAGAATTTTTTCCAGGCTTTTTTTCTAGTCAAAGATTAAAAACTTCCTTTATCAGCCCCAGGTAATCATGGGAGACAACCCTGTCCATGGAAGGGGAGTTGAAACTAGGTGGTCTTTAAGGTCCCTTTCAACCTAAGCCATTCTGTGGTTCTATGATATGTTTCCAAGGACTGGAACTTCTACTGCAGATTTTGTGCTGTCGTGATGTTACAAAATCATCAGTATTGGACAGTATATACCTGAAGCGCTATATTGGACAGTATATACCTGAAGGTCTAGATGCAAGAGGGCAGGTATTTCTTTGTGTTGTTGCTGCAGGCATTTCTTACCATGTGATGTGATTTGCCTTTGAGACCCACAAGACACTTTCCTTTATTGTTTCAGACTTCATTAATCTCCTGTTAGTTTTTTCTTCTGCTGCATCTTCTTCTCCACTCATGTCAGTGAGTGAGCTATGCGGTATTACTTTGAATGTGTGATTCTCAGTCAGCACAAGTATTTTATACCTCCTTTCTCATCATCTCACTGGCTCCTGCAGAGTTTGGGGTTTATGGAAAATCAGTCCCGTGTGGCTCACTGGAGCATGTCTTGCCCAGACAGGGAATCAGAAGAGATCTGCCTGGCACTCTACAGTTCTTCTTTCCATTACTCCATTTTATCCTTACACCACAACATTCTTGTGGTAGAAAAGCATCTTTAGAAACCAGAAATGAGCTACTTTTAAAACAAGCTGCTAAAGCAGCAATGTGAAGTAGGGTGGTGGGGTGGAATTCTGTTCTACTCAAGGCTATTTGGTATCAGTGATGCCTTCATGTTGGCAAACATTAAGAGCAAACCTTGCACTGACAGGCTGACTCACCCTGAAGCAGTGAGCAAGCCTGTGAGAGGCTAGAGATGGCAGCATGTTCTCTAGTTCATTTTCCCTCTCTGTTGAGCCTCCTTGTGGCAGTTTCTACCACTGCAGAAACCTTTGCTCCATTTATGTGACTGGTGTGAGCTCAGCCATGCTCACCCCGACCTGAGCACACTTGTCTACCTGCCGGGCTGCACAGTTGTTGCAATATCATTGCATCTTTCAGACACGGAAATCAGCAGTGCTTTCTTCATTGGATGCTCCAGGTTATCTCAGTTCTGAGACTTCATGTTCTGTTTACATATTTTAATTATTTTTTTTCCTACTTCCATATTTTTGGTATTAAGTCTAACCACCCATTTTCTCATGTCCACCTCTGTCTTACTGCCAACCTGTGGTTTGACAAGGACATATCTATTACTACTGAAGTGATTCAGGAATATTTCAAGTAGACTGTTTAAAGGATGCTAGGAATCTTTCTCCAAAGATACAGAGATGCTTGTCAGTACCTGTTGAAAATTGCATTCACATATCACCAGGCCCTTTTGTTATGGGGTCCTTGGAGGTAGTATTTATCTGCCCCTAAACAGGCTGTCATTTTACTCTTTTAAAGTGACTAGTGGAGAAATTGGGCTTATTGTGTACTTGGCTTCCTATTAAGTAACCTTGTATATTTTAGATAGTTTAGTTTTGCCTTTGCTTAGCTGCAAGCAAGTCCAGAATGGGATCTCTGAGGGAAACTGCAAACTGCAGCAAAACAGAAAATATAATAGATTACTGTTGATTTGTTTGCTTTGCCTGTTTCAGTTTCCTTAAAATGAGGAGTATTGTGCTGGTGACTCTTAGCTGGTATCTCTGTGCTTCCACCATACAGATAATGAACTATTTGTCTGGATCCTTCTTCCTTCCACCTGCTAGTTAAGCTGTTCACACTGAGTTTAGTAAAGAGACAAGATCTACAAAGCCAGGACTGGTTGTGCTGCATGGTGGCTAAAGGCCCAGTTGTAATAGGTACTGTGTAATATAAACCTGGATCCTGCCAGTTAAGCTGGTAGATAATCCCTGGTAAAGAAGTGTTGCTGGTTTAAACTGCAATAAAGAGCAGGAATTACCAGTCCCAGTTAGTGCCTGTTGCAGAAAGGTATCACATTAACTCAGTGTGAGATTATAGTTGCTGGTCACTATATAGGTCACACAATCTACACATGCATAAATATTGTGATGGTTTTTTCCCCAGCTGCTTATCAAGATATTTTTAACTTCTCAGTGTGCACTTTAAAAGAACAGGCTTTGTTTTCATGGCAAGAAAGCCTCACAGCCCTTATTTCCTCCTTTCACTATGTATTGCTTGTAGCGGAAAAAGCATCACGAAGGAAACTGTTCTGGGTTGGCTGCTTACACAGAGTCCTTAAGAAGAAACCAGGGAATTTGGAAAGAAATGTGTTCCTGTATCTGAAGTAGACTTTAGTGTCTGAAAGACTGAAAAGCTGCTTTAATATGAGAGCCCAGATTCAGTAGATAAACATGGAACATGAATTAGAGAGGGGCAAGCTGTCAACTTGAGCAAATCTGTGACAAGTTCTGGCACATCTGGTTTATGAAGAGCTCTCAGAAATTGCTAGGCAATAGATAGAAGTAAGTAGGCTGAGGATGAGACCGTAAGTACCATAAACTTCTCCATGTTGGTCATATCACATCTGCACGAATAGTCGAGCCAGGCTCTTTTCATTCGAGTATCGTCTTTGTTTGGCTGAGTTCTTGGAGGATGTAGAAGTTGTCATTAGGGTTTCATTAACTCACTGGAGATTTCTGTTTTCACCTGTGCAGATGAAATCATGCAGCAGGAGATACGGCCGCTGGTTGCAGTGGATATAATAGAACAGCTACACAGACAATTTGCTATCTTGTCAGGTAAGAAGTTTCTCATAATTACATTCTGGGATTCTCTTGGAAATGTGCTGGAATCTGTCATACTGACTGTTACTATTCAGTTCTGCACAGCAGTCACAATAGCAGTTCTATATTGCCAGTGAAAAGGCCTGTCATAATCAGACCCTTACAGTTCATAGAACTGATAAATGCCAGCCTACTGTGTCTCTTTTTTTGAGACAAGTTAATTTTCTGTGCTTTTCACAATGGTAAGAAAATAAATAAACCTTTTTGTACAAGAATTTGCACAATGTCCAAGCATGCTGTTTGTGGGAAAAGTTTTGGTTTATCAGGGAGTTATTCATGTCCTTCCCCCTCTTCCTCATTTGCCTTTGTTTTGGAAATGATTCATTTCTATAGTGTAAGGTTCTAATCTTTTAAAGATTTGATTATTCCATAATCCTTTGTTTGCTTGAAGTTTGCAATCACACAAAGTGACGCAGTTTCTGCCCCAGAGAAATAGCTGATACTGAAATATCTGCCAAATTATTTAACACACTTTGGCTACTGCAGAAGAGAAATCCTTAACTGGGTCCTAAAATGGCTTCTTTATACATTTTTAAATGCTGACTTCAGGGTCTCTGGCAACTCCTTTTGTCTCTGCCTGTTCTGCAAATAAGGAAACTGAGAATTTGCCTTTCTTCTTCCCCATAGACACACAGTAAATTATCATCAGTTTCCACAAAATACTCAGATGGTCATAAGGTATTGTTGGACAGCCTGTTCCTCTCTAGTGGAGAGGAACACTGGGTACACAGTACAGAGTACACAGACACAGCTCTGCAGATGATCAGCTCAGCAGGCCCAATCCCTACTGCATCTTGCACTGTTAAGGACACTCCAAGCTGCCGACTGAAATCCTGGCCTAATGTTACATGAACAGATTTGCAGGCAGTGGGTTGGACATCTCTGCTGTAGAGGATAGCGAGTAAGCTGGTATTGCTGTGAAGTGCACAGATCCCATGCAAGGTCACAGAAGGAGCAGGAGCTCAGGAAAAGCTGGGAGCACCTTCTGCTTTATGCTATGCTTTATGCTTCACTGCAGAAATGACTGAGTGGGAGATGAGAATTTCCTAATGTGGGGTCTGTTGTCAAATTTGAAACCAGTTATCGTAAAGAACTTCATCAGGAATGCTGTTCACATCCCTTTTATTAGTGTTAAACTGACTGTAAAGTATTCTAAATACAAGGAAGGAAGTGGGGAGATCTAATCATTCATTGTTCAGCTCCTTTTTGGGCTCAATAATGGCTTCAGCCAGATCACGACTGGGCTATTTTTCTGCTCGTCGTAAGCAAGAAAACACTTATCAAGGGGTCTCTCTAGAATGCTCTGCTTGCTTTTTCCACTCACCAAACACATAAAGCTATTCAAACCAATATTGTTTTCAAGGCCTTTGATTTAACTGAGACTCAAGTGTCTGAAAATGTTTATATTGGTGTAAAAAGCATGGCATATTAGGAATTCAGTGCCTCATGTGCAATGTCTATCTGGTAAATGTACAGAGGACCACTTTTCTTAATCTCCATTAGCTTGTAACATTTAAGAACAGTAATAAAAACTGTGCCTGGCATGGAATGAGCAACTGGTGGAAAGTGCCTCACTCGAGGAAGAAAAATCCATTTCTAGTTCCAGCTAGTAACATTCAACATGCCACAGAAATGCAAGGGGTAAATATGTATTAAAGAAAGAAAAAAGCCTTATGGACATATCATCTCAGCAGTGCCTGTATTCTCATGCTATTATAGCAAATCCAACTCTTCCCATTGATCTGCTTCTTTTATTCTTAGAAGTGGTTAGAAAGAGGTTTAAATAAAACTGTTTAATCCTAAGGTACTTCAACACTCTTGAAGATAATTTTTCAGGGATGGCAGGGGCTGAGAGGAATCAGCATGCAAATACGCGTAACAGAGACCAAAAGCCTCTCACATTCCACCTACGTAAATAATCCTATTTGTAGATTTCTTAGGTTAACCTAAATTCTTATCTGTGCAGTCCAGAAATAATACCCTGATAAGAAACAGGGCAGCACAGTTAAGACTGAAGTCTTTTTAGAAATTAAGAAGTTTACAGCTATATTTGGAAACCCAGGTGCCCCTGCTGAAGTCTCTGAAATGCCTGCGGCAGCCCTTTACAGGACATAACCTGCTCAGAAGTTTCTTTTGCCCAGTATTGTATGGCTGCTGACCACTGGTGGGCTGAGAAAAATGTAAGAACAGAAATATTCCTTTTTGTCCCTTTGCTGCAAACTGAGATTTAGCCAAAGCCAGAAATAGACATACTTCTAAAAACACATTTCTCTAAGGGTTACCTGTTTTTTCCGGCAGCAAAATGAGATTCTGGTGTTTTGATTTGTTTGTTTGTTTTTCATTGAGTGAAAACAAATCTGGCTGCTCTCCTGCCTCACTTACTAAATTAATTCACACATAATTACCTCATATTCTGTTATTTTTTTTCTGTTGTGTAACTGTTCTTTTTCCTCACAGCACGCTGCTTTTCATTGTGCACGAGCAACCACAAATATTTTGGTGCTTCATTTTGGTGCTTTCTTACATGGAGACCGAAAATCTCCTGATATGTTGCTTATTTCCTGGTCTTCCATGCTGTCACACTGCAGCTCAGTAGCCATTCTGTGATAAAACTCTCTGCTCTTTACTCTCATCACAGTAGGCAGGAAGGCACTCCCTGATTGCCTGCAGACTGTTTTGGGCTGCTGGATCATGAACTTTACTGAATAGTTTTATAAAAGTGGTCTATTATGTTTTATAATACGTGGGAATATTTCTTTGACTTAGGCTGCAACCACCAGAGAGCATCTGATACCTCTGCCAGGCATGCACATGCAGAGCTCAGTGATGTTAGCAATGCCAGTCCAGTTTGTGCCACAGCACAGCCTCTGGCACTTTTGAGCTCTCCTGTCCAGTCCTGTAGCCCTCAGATCCATCTGTCCAGTGATAATGAGAATCACTAGTCGACTTTTACAGAGTTTGTTTCTAGCTAATGATTTTGGTTAATATCAGCTTTTTCTTAACAGCTGGCAGATGAGGTCAGGGTTAATGAAATCATGATATTCCTGTGCAGAAAAGCAGAGAAGAGAGTAGAACGATTTAAACCAAAGGCTCATTTTTTCCTCTGGACATGATTCCTTAGAAGTACTTTCCTCAACTACTGCTGCATAAAAACTTCTTGGAAGAGGATCTGGCTGTCTTATTGTAAAGCAGTTGATGGGAGCTATGCAGCTAGCTAATAAATCTGATGTTTGATTATGTCACTGTCTAGTTACAATGAATGTATTGGACACTGAGAGCATTCTGTGTGTCCTGGTCCTTTAGCTACCAGACTGACATCTTGGTTAGTACTGTTCTGTCCTTGCCAAGAAAAGGGAAACACTCCCAGTGTTCTTTGCAGGACTGCCATGGTCATGGAAGAGGCTGTAGTGTGAAAAGGTCCTTGATCACGTAGCTCTACTTCGGTCACCTCTTCCATCTGCTGATCTAGCCTTGCTGAGCTTCTGAGATGTAGTGAGAGTGCTGGCTCTTGTGGTTAAATTCCAGTTTTGAAACCACTGCTGCCTCTTTCCTTACCCTGAAAAACGATCTCTCAGTTATGGGATTACAGCTGTGACAACATAGGAGTGCTTTGCACACCTAAACAGCAATGTTTGTGTTACTGTAGCTGTTAAGGGTACGATACCACAGGGCTGGGTAGTGCTAAGAAGTCATTCTTTTCCTGACCTAAACCAGTTTTTACTGAAGAATGGAGACCTCTGGTAAAATACTCTTCCTGTCCTGCTGATGGACTAATAACCCACTCTACTAACCTGCTCTTATGAACTAATATCAAACTCCTTTTTATCTGCAGCTTCACAGTCTGTTCTTATCTCTAATCACTCTAAGAGCCTAATCTGCCAGTCGCAGCAATAATGGATCATGTTGATAAAACACAAATTTATTAGACAAGCTATCATGAAATGTGTTAGCAGACATTCATTTGCTTTCTGTTCTGCTAAATCAGTGCACTCCAGCTGATTGGTAACTGACTCTAAAGCCAGTTTATTTCCAAAGCCTGGAGGGCATTTGGCCATCTGCTTCCTGCTCAAACTGAGCTTTTTGGAAAACCTGGCCTGACCCTGCTGAAAGGACCATTTGGAGCTTGTCTGAAAATCTAAACCCAGGAAGTATGGTTCAACTTCAGTGAGAAATTCAGCATTCACAACCCTTAATGGACGCTGAGAAACAAAACAAAAGCTATTCCAGAGCACGGAAAAAGCAAGCCTGACCTAGGCAGAGAAAATTCAGCCAAGACATGACTGAACCCTTCATCTATCTGACCACAAGATGACTTGTACTCAGCTCTGCTATGACTAAGGGAGCTTTCTGCATGTGGGCAAACAAAAGTAGTTTGGCTGCACATCAGCAAAGTTTGAAAGAAAACTGCAATATTAACTGATGAGTTGGTGTCTGTGGCTGGCTGGGGACGTGTGCACTGCAGCCAGACTTTTGAAACTCTTCCTGCTGATAGCCTGTATTATTATTATTTTTTTCCATTTTGTTTTATTTTCCCAAGGGATTCAGAATACTTGGTAATACATGGTTAGAAATCACGAGTCTAGCTGTTACTATTACAAAAAGAGCTTCTTGATGTGGAATGGGACTTGAATGTATCCCATAAGCATCTAAACCCTTCCTTTACTTGGTGCCTGGTTGGAAATCATAGGTGAAACAGAAATGGGGGGTGCTTGACTTTGTAGGACCCCAGCTGTGTCCGGGAACTTAGCCTGTAATTATAACTGCTTGTTGCTATTACATCTGTCATCCCAACATGCAACTCCAGCTGTGTGAGCTCTCAGAATGCAGCACTCACACCTCATTTGTCAATCACACCCTTCATACTGCTAAGAAAAAATTAAACTTTGCTGCCACATCCTATTATCCCTCATGCATATTCTTGCTCTAAAATGCTTCAGCTATTTTATTGCTGCAGC